TAGGGTGAGGCTCCTTACCCCACCACCCACCCCCAACCAGTAGAGCCCTTCCAAGGTCCATACAGCACTTGCTTCACAGAGAGCCTCTTTTAGGTTACCTGACATCCTTGTATTCAACCCACTAATATGCTATTATCCCGGTTGAACCTAGAAGAACATGGGGTAGGGCCAGAGGAGTGAGCAGGGCCTGGATCAGGTCTCTGTGACCTGACTGTTGGGGAGGAGGCAGAATGGGAACTGGGGTGGCCACAGGCCATACCTGAGAGCGTGGGATCTCTTTCTGGGGGATTTCTGACATGGTCCGATTCCCCAGTCAGAGACCTCTCATCAATCTTGAGATAATTTCTGTCTCAAGATAATTTCCATTTCATAACTTCCATGGGATCAGTATCCCATCTGCAGACAGCAGGTCACCTAGTGCACCGAGGGAAATGAGCAACAGCGAAAGAGCCTTGCAGAGGATGGGAACCATCCAACCCCATCTCAGGGCTGCCCCACAGGCCCTACCTGTAGGGCAATGGCCCAGGGTACATCTGGAGGGCTTTGACAGACAACTTCAGCTCTGGCAACCTGGGACATGGCTCCTTTCCAGGTGTTATAAATTCAAACAATTACTGATCCCCAAACATTCCCTCCCATGGCCTGAATATTAAATACTTTTAACATTAAGACACAGAGTACAAGTCTGACAATCTTTTAGGATAGTTTCAATTACTTCTTTGTTTCCTTCCCTCAACCTCCTTTAATGCTAACCTAGGAGCTAACACAATTGGGATCATATCTAGAAGTTTTATTTGGTTCTTTTTATAGTTTCCATTTCTTTCATTTTATTTTCCTTTAAATTCTTGATTATATGTATAATAGCTGCTTTAAAGTCCTCATCTGCTGATTTCATCATCTTTGTCATTTCGAGTCTGTATCTGTTGACTGATTTTTCTCCTGTTTATGGTTTACATTTTCCTGCTTCTTCACATACATAGCTTTTTTCTTAAAAATATTTTATTAGGGAATCGGGGAAGGGGAACAGACAAGTTGCTGTCCTTTTGTTCTTCAGTCTAGTTGTGGAGGACGTCGCTTCACTGGCCCATGTTGGTATTATCATTGCGTTCTTCCTGAGTGAGGCAGTCACTCGCTGGCCATTGGATGGCCGCTCACAGCAGCCCACGAAAGCTCACACCCACTGCCCGCCAGCCCCTCTGCAGCCTACACCATCACCAGCGACTCATGGCAGCCCAGCTTCAGGTGGAGTTGTTGTTCACCATCTTAGCTGTAGAGGGCACAGCATCACTGGCCTTCATGTAGGATCTGAACCCTGGCCCTGCTCCTCAGAGCTGGCGCTCCCAAGCCAACCAACTCTTAACCAACACGCCACTCGGCCGGCCCATAGCTTTTTTTTTTTTTATTGTATACATATTACAGGTATGACATGATTTAGTGCCTGGATTTTGTTGTCTTTCTTTAAAGATTGTTAAGTTTCATTCAAGCAAGAAGTTAATTTACTTGCAGGTAAGCTGTCTCAATTTTGTTTAAGTGGGTCTAGAAAGAGCCTTTACTGTTGGGCTAGTTTAGCCTTATCTCTGTAAAATATATATGGAACCACTTTAAAATGTAGCCTGAGCTGCCATCCCAGAGGAACTGCTGTGCACATCTTATGTCTCAAACTTCGAAATGTTAAAACAGGGCAAAATAATCTTTGGACTGGGCCTAAAGCAACATTGTGTCCCAAAGAACTGTTTGCAAGGATAATAAGAAAGCAGACTGGCTACCAGACTGATGACTATTGGACTGAATATTAAAAACATTGCTTAGAATTAGTGTCACTATGGTAGCTTATCTGTAACAATAGAAATGCCTTCCTTCTATTGATGTAATTGTTCCCCTTCCCCTTCTCATTAATCCTCCTTGCCTTTGCCTCCTAATTGGAACATTATTTGGGTTTCTGTCTAAATCAGCTTTTCCCAATTCCTTTTTGATCTCAAATAAATGCATTTTGCCTCTCACTTTGGCCTTTTCTTTTTAGGTTGACATCTCTAAATTGTGGCATTTCTGAGCTCTCTCTACAAAATGCCCTAGGTGTTTAACAAGGTTTCGCCATTCCAATTGATCAAGACTTGAATGTTTTCTGACTCTATTGAAGCTCTAGTAGTTGTTCAGCTTATAGTTCGTCCAGTCATTGTTACTTAGCCAGCCTCATGAAGTCTAACCTTAAACCTACATAAAGATTCAAGGAGACTCTTATGAATATTTCTGGAACTCTTTCTCTGATACTCTGCCCTGCAAATTTCAGTTGCCCCAATCTCCCTTTATTTCAATTTCTTTCTCTTCAGTTAGCAAGAGTACTGTATTCTGCTTGGCTTTCTTCTATCCTGTGCTTAGGTCAAGGTCTCCAGAAAGAAATCTGGGGAAATCTTGAGATCATCTTATTTGTTTTCCTTCTTTCTAGGTTCACAATCTTACTGTGCCAATTGTTCAATGTCTGAAAACAGTTATTTCATAGATTTGGTCCAGTTTTTTTATTGTTTGCAGTAGGAAGTTTGATCTGATACTAGCTACTTATTCATGGCTGGATTACCCATAACATTTTAGAAATGTAATCTTTTTTTTTTTTAAAGACTTTTATTGGGGAATTGGGGGAGGGGAACAGCGCTGGGGAATCGGGGGAAGGGGAACAAACAAGTTGCTGTCCTTTCGTTCTTTAGTCTAGTTGTGGAGGACGTTGCTTCACTGGCCCATGTTGGTATCATCATTGCGCTCTTCCTGGATGAGGCAGGTTGGTCGCTGGCCTCTGGATGGCTGCTCACAGTGGCTCTTGGCAGCTCACGCTGGCTGCCGGCCACACACGGTAGCTTATGGCAGCCCACTGCAGCTTCACTGTAGCCTATGCCGTTGCTGGCAACTCACAGCAGCCCAGCTCCAGGTCGAGCTGTTGTTCACCATCTTAGCTGTAGAGGGCAGTGTCACTGGCCCTCATGTGGGATCCNTGGCATCCCAAGCCAACTCTTAACCAATGCACCTGCACTCAGCCGGCCCAGAAATGTAATCTTTTTATTGAATAATAAAATGCATGCTGAAAAAATGCACAAATAAGTACAGCTTGATGAATTTTCATTAATTGAACATACTGGTGTAATCAACATCCAGATCAAGAAAAACATTATTAGAACTCCAGAAGCCCCCTAGTGACCCTTTCCAAACAATAATACTAGGGTAACCAATATCCTGACTTCTTTACCATATATTATTTTTGTCTGTTTTCGAACATTATATAAGTGGGTTCATGTAGTATACGATTTTTGTGTATGGCTTCTTTCATTTAATTTTGTGATTGTGACATTCATCCATGTGTTGTGTGGTTGTTAGATTGTTCATTCTCTTTCCTATATATTATTTCACTATGTGAATATTGTAAAATTTATTCATCCTATGAACATTCTCAGAAATGTCTTTTGGTGAACATATGAATACATTTCTGTTGCATATATATCTAGGAGTGGAATTTCTGGGTTAACCCACTCCAGCAACTAGTAAATTTATATAATTAGTTCAGACATTTCTTCTGAACTCCAGATTTACATATCAAATCTGTCTGATATTTCCATTTATGAGCACCACAAACTTAACACATCCCAAACCATTTGCTCCTCCTTCTATGTTCCAATCAGTAAATGGCTTCTTAAGCCATCTAGTTACTTAAGAAATCGTCCTTAATGCTCCTCTTTTCTTTACCCTCTCCAGCAAACCAATTCATTAAATCCCTTGGAGTCCACTTCTGATTTACATATGTCTCAAAATTATCCAACTCTTTCTGTCTCTACTGCCATTATCCTAGTTCAAGACACCATCATCCCTGGCCTTGACTAACATAATTGCCTCCAAAGTGGCCTTCTAGCAATCCCTCCTGCCCTCTTCCTGAGTGAGCTTTTAAATATGTAGATCAGACCCTACTTAACACTGTCTATTAGCTGCCCATTGACCTTAGGATACATTCCAAAATACAGTCTAAAATCTATACTGTGGCCGATAAGAGCCTGCATGGTCTGGCCTTTGCCTCATCTCAGGCCAAGTTTGCTCCCTACGCCCCAATCACACTGACTTCCTTTCAGTTCCTAGAACACACCAAGTTCTCTCATGCCCTAACAACCTCACACATAATGTCCCCTTGGCTTTAACATTCTTTAAGGCTCTTTCATATGCCTGAAGCTTAAAAGGTACTTCTTTCAAGAACTTTCCCCTGATAGTCCAGAATTAACCCATCATCACACCCACTACTTTTCCATCACAGTACTGATCACAATTTATAATTATGTAATGATTTATGCTTTAAACATCTCTTGCTCCTACTACACTTTAGATTTGATCCATTGTTATGTTTACTCCTGTAACCCAATGCCTAACACTGTGCCTGGCACATGATACACAGTAAGTGATTGTTTAATAATACATGACAGATGCAAAGGCTGGAAGGGGCCACAGGGCGGGTATCTAGCATTTCTCTGCCAAGGTTAGTTGCCTCCTCCTGTGTGGTGGTAAATGGGGCAGGAACTGTTCTTGCTCATTCAGGGGGGTTTTCCCTTCTGCTCCTTGGATAAGTGTTTGCTGTAGGGCCGTGTGAGAGACAAATTGCCTCCAGATACAGGAGGCAGGCGGAAGACATTAGATTTATTTGAGAGGGACAGCATAGTCTATCACTACAGAAGTAAGCAATCTCTCGGCGCAGGTGCGTAAAAAACTGCCAATCTCTCCTGGAGGGGCGGGACTACCTTGGGCCGTGGGAGGGGGAGGGTTAGTGTGGCCTTCTCACTGAACCTGATTGGCCTGAGCGAACAGAGAGAACAGGGGCGGGGCTTGATCCCGCCGGGCGCCTGCCGCGTTGGACGCCGGGCAGCCCCGCGGAAAGGCCACGCCCTAGCCCCACAATGCACTGCGGGCCGCGTCACTCGGAGCGGCGGGTCCCAGCTCTACAGGTATGGCCCGGCCCCTCCCAGTCCTCGTTCCTCTCCTCTCGGGGTCGCTGGAACCCCTGGCTGGCCGCTTCCCTCACTCTCCCCGCCTCCCGCCACGGCCCTAACCCTGGATCTTGTGCCTATAGACCTACCCCAGGGCAGGAACCAAGCCCGTGCCGTGGTGGTGGGAGCCGGGTGTCTTTGGAGCCTAGTCGCAGGAAGTTCGTCCCCTTCGACTTGCTGGGTGTGTGGGGCCACGCGGGTGGCGGTTGCCCCTAGGCTGACCTGCCCTGAGTATGGGGCAGCCCGGGCAGGGGGGGCGAGGGGATGGGACAGTCGCTCTGGGATGCCAGGGCCGGGGGGCATTCCCTGGCACCCAGGTGTCAGAAACACCGTGGTCCTCCTAGGCTGCTTAGATGCCCTAGAGAGCTTGACGTGGCATTTCCTATTTCTTTTAGGCAGGGTGGGATTTGAATCAGTGGCTCACTTTGCGTTTTGTGGGAATTGAGTGAGCATTGAGCCCAGCGATTTGCCCGCTTTGGCTCTCGGTAACCTCTGAAAGCCCTGTTAATGGCACTTTGGGAACGATGTGGCAGACAGAGCAGAGCAGTTGGCTTGACAGGTGGAAGAGGGCTCCAAAATAGGAGGCCGAGCCCCAGCCGACTAGAATCCCTCAGCCAGTGAAAGCTGCTTTGAACTTTTCTGTTGCTTCTTAGTTTCCTGGGTCATCCACCTGGGGGCAATGGGCGAGCTTGAGAAAATTCCCTCCTGTTCAGCCAATGCAGACAGAGCCCAGGGTGTAAGTGTCAGCCACCCATCTGGAGATGTTGGGATCCCAGGTTGAACAGCCACTTTTTAAAACTCTGAATCACATTCCTGGTTACTGGCATTTGCTCATGTGGTGAGATTATAAGGAATTAGGCAGTACCTTAAATAGTACCTACAATTTGTGGTATATGACTGTTGTAGTTCAGTATTTGAATCAGACTTCTATGACCAGACCCTAAGTTAATGGGACATCTGGGCATGTCCTATGTTGAGAACCATGATCTCAGTTTAGTGCTTCTTTTGATGTATGATTAATTGTTTAAAATCTAAGTGTATTTTTAAATCTAAGTGATTTATGAAAAAAGCCCAGGTCTTATCAAAAGGGGGTGCCTGTAATCTTTTTATGTAGCTGAGTAAGAATCATGGATATATTGAGAGGCACTGTTTTCATAGGGTGGTTAGAGTCAGACCTGGGTTTAAATCGGTCACATTCAATCCCTAGTTTAGGGATTGAATAAATTACTTAACCCTTCTGAGTTTGAATTTCCTCCAAGGTAAAATGGAACTGATAATACCTGTCTCAAAGGTTATCAAAAGGCTTATATGAGGTAACGTGTATAAAGTGCCTGGTAAATAGAGGGCAGTCAGTAAATAATAATAGCAAACACTTAATAATGTACTTTTATTCTCCAAGGCAATGTTTCAGGTTCTTTACATGTTCCTGTGAGGTAGATACTATTAGTATCTTTAAAATAACCCTAAGAGATAGATACTATTAGTAGCCACAATTTACAGGTGATGAAATTGAGTATAGAAAGACAAAGCTTGCCTAGGTTTACACAGTACTGTATGGTGGAGCCAGTTGTTGAACCCAGGTAATCTGGTTCCAGAGTCCATCCTGTTAAGTAACATACTATGCTGCCTCTTGAAGAAAATGTAAACTGGTCTTTTATTGGGTTGTTGGAAAAGTCATGACTCATTTTTGCAACGAAAAGCATAGAAAAAATATGTCATGACTTTTTCGACAACCCAATATTATTATTCCAAAATGAATAGCTAGATTCTGTATCACTGGGTTCTTGCCCCTTGTTGGTTTTAGGAGGTTGGTGTCGTATAGTGATGTAAAGATACAAGAAACTTACGTTGGCAGTGTGATATTGAGAAAGGGAGCCTCTCGTTTCCTCATCTGTAAAATGAAGGTTATATCTACCTCACCGTTTGTCAACTACGAGGTGTTACGCAAATGTCGAGGGCCCTGTTCCTAGATGTGGGTGTAATCTATGGATCCTGAGGTCCACACATACTGTGCTGTGCAAACACCTGTAATAGCAGTATCACAGGCTGCTGGAGAGGTTGTGGGGAGAAGCAGGGAAGAGCAAGCTGCAAAATAAATTCCGGTTGTCCTTGGTACCCATTCCCCTTTTCCTCTTCAAGCTCTGTTTGCCTTCCTGCTAATCAGTGGCTGTGTCAAGACCTTCGCTTTTCTCTCGATCTTTCCCCCACCCTGTGCAGCACAGTTAGTATAGCTTTCTCCCCAAATGACATCCCCCCAATTCTCACAGATCTCTGTTAGCACTTTTAATAAAATAATACGTACCAAGGTAGTATTTCCCAAATCTTGGTACCATAAAATATGCAAGATAATTTGAGTGATAAGCAGATGAACATTTAAAAAGAATTCTCCAGAACTTTCACATGCATTTGAATGAAACCCCAAAAAGTTCTCTACTTATTTTAATTTATATTAGGAGAAAAACCTAACACCTCAAAATGGATTTCACAGATGCTAAGGATAAGACAATAAATACGTCAAATGAAAGACCTATATTAGATAAATAATAGTACGGGTGGGATGCAGATATGGTAAGAATTCTGAAAATGGTATTATTTGGATGACTGGAGTTTGGGAAATAATTAACTAAAATAAAATAAGAGTGATTAACCCAATATGAATTTTTTTTTAATCTTAAAAGAGGCATTTATGAAAGCATATTGCTAGAAAGTAGATATAAAATGTACTTATATGTTTGGTTTGTTTATTACTTTTTGAGAGTTTGCCTTCCTGGTACCTTGGACCCACAGTTGTTACCCCACAAGGTTGTGAAGAAGAAAAGTCAGCATCTTGTTATCTAAAAGGTTGCTAACCACTGCTATAGCGGTGTGGTACTATGAGAGTTTCTTTTCTTTGGCTTTTACATAAATATTTATGTAAAAATATCCAGACCTATCTAGATTCCAGTTTGGGCTTTTTCTTCTAGCAGTTGCTATTGGGGAGAGGATACACAGATCCCCGTGAGTTTTCCGCACTGTCTAAAGGCATATGTAATATTTTTCCAGGGTTAAAGGCGAGGGAAAATGGACCAGTGGCCTAAAAATGTATCTGTGGCCCTGATAAAACGACTACTGCTCCTAAATTGTCACTCTAAATCTATCACTCTAATTGGCAAGTTCTTAACCTCTTGTTTTCCCAGTTCCCACTGACTCTTTCCCAACCACCACCTTGCTCTAAGGATACTTACTCTAAGGATACTCTAACCCTAGCTTACCCTCGATGTGGACAGATTCCACTTTCTACTAGCACATTCCAGATGAGAGTTTTTTGGTTTTGTTCTTTAAGGAACTGCATTAAGAATCCATGGTAAAAAGAAAAAAAAAAAGGGTGGGTAATATTTATCGAGTTGATAGAGGAGAGATTGCTTATCCCTAAGGTGATTGAAGTCTGTTTACAAATTAGTCAAGCCTGGCATTGCTCATTGGACAGTCATCTTTTTTTTTGCTAGGTTTGGATGCTATGTCAGTTGACTCTGGGAGGAAGACTTTTTCTCAGAAAAGTCTTATTTACTGATAATAGAAACAGTTTTCTGACAACCTTTTAAGAATTTTGACATGGAATATCACTATTTTTGGTCACAAGCCTAAAGTTGTATATTAGGAATATCTGAAATAAGTTTGTCTAACTGCAGTTTTCCAATTAGTAAAGTGGTGTGCAACACAGTTTGCATTTTTTTATCTGAATTTCTTTAATTCTGGACTGATGCTTCTTGATGGTAGGAACTATGTAGACCTAATGTCTGGCATAGTCCCTGGCATATAGTACATACTGTTAAAAACAAAATTCAGCAGAATCAATTGGAAGATCTAATTGGCTTTATTAAGTGAGTCATGAGTCTTGCAGGTTATACACAATGGAAGGTTTTTATAGGCAGAAAGAGAGTGGGACTAAAAAAGGTAAGAGTAGATTATTTTAAACAGGGAATGGCAGAGGGTCTTACCAGGCAGATTACCTCACTAGTGGATTAGGAAATTCCAGAGTGGTTGGTTTAAAATTCCACACCTGGGAGAGGCTGAAACTGCACAGTTCCCTTAGGTATTTAATCTAGGTTTATTAGCATGGGCTTTTAACACAAGTGATGCCATTTTGGGCCTGTGGCTCTTCTTTTTAACAGTGCTCAATAAATGCTACATGAATGGTATTGACAGGTTGGTATTCTTTTCTCAGTGTATGTTTTAGGAAGTATGAATCTTATCTTTGTGTCTTTCAATTCATAAAGAAGAAAAGAGTAACTTTGAAGATTACGTGAAAGTCGGCACTCTATAATAATTCTGTTGGGATCCTAAAAAGATCAGGCATAAAAGAATGTACTCTGCTTTTAAATACTAAGTATATGGATGTTTGGAAACTATAGATCACAACCCTGCCCTCATGTTAATTCCTGGAGTAGTCCTTGTATTGCAGTATACTTCTGTAAAGACAAAAGTTTTATATTTAAATAATAAATAGTTAAGGATATGAAGTAAGACATTTGCCTACTTTCTTACATTTAGGCTAAATGTAGCAATTGTGGTTTAAATAACACATGTTAACAATTTTCAAAAGGGGATTATAGTATGGATATTATCCCTTGAGGGATCTCAGCTTTCTCTTTTTACTGCTTTTAGAATAGAAAAAAAATTACTTGGATAGTCATGTTGGAACTTCAGTTGAAAAGGATAGATGTTAATTCTTCTTTGAATGTTTGCTAGAATTCACCCGTGAAGCCACCTGGTCCAGGATTTTTAGTATGTGGGTAGTATTTTGATAGCAGATTGAATTTCATTTGTAGAGCTAGGTTGGTTCAGATTTTCTGTTTCTTCTTGATTCAGCCTTGGAAGATTGTATATTTCTAGGAATTTGTCCATTTCTTCCAGATTGTCAAATTTGTTAGCATATAATTGTTTGTTGTATTTTCTTTGTATTTCTGTAGTGTCAGTTGTCACTTCTTTCATTTCTGATTTTATTTACTCGGGTCCGCTCTCTTTTTTTCTTGAGAGTCTGGTTGAAGTTTTGTCAATTTTGTTGATTTTTTTCAAGGATCCAGCTCTTGGTTTCATTGATCTTTTGTGTTGTTTTTTTTAGACTGTATATCATTCATTTCTGCTCTTATCTTTATTATTTCCTTCCTTTTACTCACTTTGGGCTTTGTTTGTTCTTTTTCTAGTTCCTTTAGGTGTAAGGTTAGATTGAGATTTTTCTTGTTTCTTGAGTTGGCCTGTATTGCTATGAATTTCCATCTTAGAACTGCTTTAGCTGTATGTGTCCCATAGATTTTTGAGTCATTGTGTTTTAATTTGTCCCAAGGTACCTTTTGATTTCTTTCTTGATCTCATTGTTAACCCTTTCATTGTTTAGTAGTGTGTTATTTAGCCTTCACTTGTTTGTGTGTTTTTCAATTTTCTTCTTAAATTTATTGAGACTTGTTGTGTGGTGGCCTACCATGCAGCCTATCCTGGAAAATGGTCCATGTGCACTTGAAAGAATGTATATTTTGTTGCTTTTGGGTGAAATGTTTCAAAAATTTCAATTAAATCCATCTCGTCTAATGTGTCATTTAAGGCCACTGTTTCCTTATTGATTTTTTGTCTGGATGATCTATCCATTGATATCAATGTGGTGTTAAAGTCCCCTGCTATTACTGTATTACTGTTGATCCCTTTATGTCCATCAATATTTGCCATATATATATATGTATATATATATAATTATTAACTTTTTTTATTAGTTTCAGGTATACAAAACAATGCAATAGTTATCCTTTTCACCCCTCACAAAGTGACAACCCCTCTCCCCTCATCCACTGTCCTCCCACCCCCGATATCATACATATCTATTACAATTCCATTGACTCCATTCCCACACTATATTCCACATCCCATGACTATATATATATTAAATTATAGTTGACATATAATATTATTCAATAGCAGCTTCAGATGTACAGTGGTCAGGCCTCTACACCCTCCATGTTAAATATTAACAAGACATGAGTCCATCTGGCCCCCTAAAAAATATTTACAACATTATTGATTATATTCCCCAAACTGTCATTTCTATCCCTGAGGCAATATTGTAGTTACCAATTTATGTTGTCTCATCCCTTCCTCTTCTCCCTCATCCTCACCCCCGCCCATCTAGCAACCCTCAGTTTTTCCTCTGTGTCTCTGAGACTATTTCTGTTTACATTACTCATTTATTCAGTTCTTTAGATTCCACATATAAGTGAGATCATATGGTATCTGTCTTTCTCTGACTTATTTCACTTAGCATAATGTTCTCTAGGTCCATCCATATCGTTGCAAATGGTACGATTTCCTTCTTCTTTATAGCTAAGTAATATTCCATTGTGTAAATTACCACAGTTGCTTAATCCAGTCGTCTACCGATGGGCATTTCGACTGTTTTGAAGTCTTGGCTATTGTAAATAGTGCTGCAGTGAACATAGGGGTGCATATATTTTTTCGAATTATGCTTTATATAGTTAGGTGCACCTATGTTGGATGCGTAAATGTTTACAAAGGTTATATTCTTATTGGATTGATCCTTTTATCATTATGAAATATCCTTTGTCTCATTATAGCCTTTCTTTTTAAAGTCTTTTTTGTCTTTTATAAGCATTGCTACTCCAGGTTTTTTTCATTTCTAGTTGCATGAAGCATCTTTTTGCATTTTTTAACTTTCAAGTCTGTACTTGTCTTTTGATCTGAAGTGGGTTTCTTGTATGCAGTATATGTATGGGTTTTGTTTCCTTATTCATTCAGTCACCTTGTGTCTTTTTATTGGAGTATTTAATTCATTTACATTTAAAGTAATTATTGATATGTATATAGTTATTGCCATTTTAATCATATTTTTATGTTTCTCCTCCCCCCTCTTCCCCTTCTTTTCCTCCCTTTAACATTTCTGGTAATACTGGTTTAGTAGTGAAGAGCTCCTTTAGCTTTTCTTGTCTAGAAGAAATATGCATTTCTAACTAAACATCCAATGATTTTTATACAAGCTAAATTTTGAAAACTGTATATGTTTTACCAAAGTTTGACTGTTTACCTGATTTCTTTCACACTCAGGCCTATGTAGTCCTATCTATTTTTGTAAACCATGACCAGAATCTAATAAAATAGGCTGTTATTTTTTACTTTCTGGTAAAAAGATTGAGAACAGTACTAAAACCAGTATTCCTTTAGCTTTAAGATTTATTTTAAATAAAAAAAAATTTTCTGAGCCAGCCGAGTGGCACGTTGGTTAGGAGTTGGCTTGGGACACCAGCTCTGAGCAGCAGGGCCCCGGTTTAGATCCCACATGGGCCAGTGACACTGTGCCCTCTACAGCTAAGATGGTGAACAATAGCTCTACCTGGAGCAGGGCTGCCATGAGTCGCCGGCGATGGCGTAGGCTGCAGTGGGGCTGGAGGGCAGCAGGTGTGAGCTTTTGTGGGCTGCCGTGAATGGCCTTCTGATGGCCAGTGAGTGACTGCCTCATCCGAGAAGAGCGTAATGATATTACCAACATTGGCCAGTGAAGCGACGTCCTCCACAACTAGACTGAAGAACTAAAGGACAGCAACTTGTCTGTTCCCCTTCACAGATTCCGCAACGCTGTTCCCCTCTAATTCCCCAATAAAATCTTTAAAAAAAAAAATTTTTTTTTTCTGGGTATAAAAGTAATGTATGTCCATTGTGAAATATTATGAAAATTTAGGAAATTTAGGAATAATAATCACCTATTTCCTGGGTATAAGCATTATTCTAGTTTTGGTATGTTTTCTTCCAGTATCTGTTTCTCCATTCATTCTTCCCTTCTTCCTTCTCTTTATCTTCCTGGAAAACAACATTTACAGTTTTTATCCTTCCTTTTTTTTTCTACCAAACATGTAAGCATTTTACCACATTATTAAACTATTTTTCACAAACATAACTTTTAGTTTCTGCATTATATTCTGTCATATGGATGTACTGTCACAGGGGGTGTACCATCCCCATTAGTGGATGTTTAGGTTGTTTTCAGTTATTGCTGTTAAATTTTCTGTTTAAATTTTGTTCGGATCTGCTTGCTTTCAGTAGGTAGAGTTATATTTTACTTTTTTGTGTGTGGACAAAGGGCATAAGTATTTTTAAACTCGGTAAAATATTGCCAAATTGTTATGAGAATGATGTTTATTCCATTATTTACTTTCATGTGTGAGAATGCCAGAAAGAAGCAAGTATTCTTTTTTTTTTTAAGCTAATTTGTTAGGGAAAGCATAGGAAGTCATCATTTTAATTAGTATGTTTTGAATATTAGTGAGTTCAACATTCTTACACTGTTTATCAGCTATGGCTTTAATTTTTTTTCTAACCCAGATTGTTCATTTTGTTTTAGGTCTCCTTTGCCGGTTGAAATGTCTCTGATTTTGTCTGCCTCAGTCCTCCGTGTCAGAGATGGACTGCCACTTTCTGCATCTACTGACTATGAACAAGGCACGGGCGTACAGGAGTGTAGGAAGTATTTTAAAATGCTTGCGAGGAAACTTGCTCAGCTTCCTGATAGGTGCACACTGAAAACTGGACATTATCACATTAAGTAAGACTTTAGTTTGCTTCATGAAAATCACTTGCTTAGTGGTTGTGATTTTAATGAAATTTAAGTGGTTACAATAGAAATTTGTGTTTGTTTAGTTTAGGAAAACTTGTTAAGTCAAGAATCATGTGGTTCTGAACTTTTACTGAATAGTAGTCATCACTTTATCACCCTTTTTGGAGTTTCTCTGTGTTCATATCTGGCTTTAGAAAAGTTTATAGTTTTCCAGATCACAGATATTTCATCATATATGTTGATCACTTGGTATTTATTTGTGTTCTTACATGCCTAGGCAAACTGAAATGGGAAATATAAAAAATCTTACATGCTACCTGCCCTCAAAGAACTTATGAAGTTTACATTCTAGTGATAGGGGATAGCATTCATCACTATTTATTGTATATAAAGAAAGTAAAACTGGGCGACGGGATAGAGAGTGATTTTATGGTGGTCAGGGGCCTGAGAGGGTGACATTGGAGCAGAGACCTAAAAGATGAGAAAGAGGCAGTTACATGAAGGATGCTATGGATGAAGAGTAAGGCAGAGATAACAGCCAGTGTAGAAGGCCTTTGATACAGATCAAGGACTAAAAGAAAACCAGAGATGCTGAGCAATATGGAAAATTAATAGAGCGGCAGGAGGTAAGGTTGGAAAGGTAGGAATGAGACAGGTTATGTAGGGCCTTCTAGGCTGTGAGGAGTTTGGATTGAGTCTAATGGAATAAGAATCCATTGGAGAGTTTTAAGCTGGAGAGTTACATGATCTGATTTTGGCTTTGAGTAGATCATTCTGGCTGCTCTGTGAAGAATGGGCACTAAGAAAAAAAGAGTGGAAGCAGAGAGATCATTTAGGAGACTCTTAGAAAAGTTCAGGCAAAGGTAACTTGAACAAGGTTGATAATGATAAGTGATTGGATTTGGGCTGTATTTGGGGGAATAGCACCAACAAACCTTCATGAATTGAAGTGGGATGTGAGGGAAAGAGAAGAGCCAAGAGTCACTTCTAGATTTTTGTCCTGAGGAGCTGGATCGATAGTGGGGCTGAAATGAACAAGACTGGAAGATAAGTGTCTCAGTGGTAAAAACCAAGAGTTCTGTTTGGACATGTTAATTCTGAGATGCCCATTATACATCCAAGAGATACTGTTAGGTAGGTAGCTTGATGTGTAAGTCTGAAGTTTAGTGAAGGACAAATATGGAGATTTAGATTTGGGGGTCAGCTTACCGTTTGTAATTAAAACCATGGGAATAGATAAGACCACCTTGGAGAACATACACATGAAATAATTAGAGCACAGTTAACTCCTGAGCAGTTTGATACTGATTGTGCACACAGTACAAAATCAGATAAGAACAAGGTCCGGTGTAGGATATAATGAAGGGAGAGCTTCATTACTGAGATAAGATATGAGCCATGTCCTGAAGAAATAGTAAGATTTGGCTAAGGCAGAGAGGAGGGCATTCCAGGTATAGGGGGAGAGGCAGAATAATAAAGAATGTGACTCAGCATGGTAGTTGCATTAACCTGCTTGGCCTCGTGAAGTGAATGGTGATTTAAGGATAGTTGTGGGAAATGTGATATAATTAGTATGGGGCCAGATCCTGGATTTCCCTGAAAGTTCAGATTGAGAGATGTCACTTTGGTGTAATAGGTTATAGGAAGCTGTTACTGCAGGTTTGAGAGAAGTGACACTAGAATATAGGGTGAAATGGAAAGTCTTAAGAGGAGAGAGGTTAACATAATTAGGGCCTGACCTGATAAAATACAAGTGCAAATAAAAAAGAAAAATGCCAACCATAAAGACACTTCAAAAGAAGAAACAATAAAGCCTGATAAGGTGGAATACCAGAGATGAGGAGAAGGAAGGCACAAAGATGACTGAAATCTTGGAATTGGACAGAATGAGGTCTTTGGAAAGGATTGCTTATGGGCGGATGAGGAAGAAGAGCAAGCTAATGAAGCTCCGTTCTAATTGAGATTATGACAAGGCAGTCCAGTCGATGTGGAATAGAGATTTTGGAATCATATGGAAGTTGAAACTGTGAGGGTCAAAATGCCCACTGAGTTTCTGAGAGGCCCAGAATAGAACCTTAGTTAATGTCTATAATTACTTGGGTCACCTGGGTAATGGTAAAATAATGAGCTGTTATCTTTAATTGGGTTTTCTGAGGGTTTAACTGGAAAATGGCGGCGGTGGTGGTGAATGTATCTATTGTAAAATGATGTCTTAGCCTACTCTTCAATGTTTTGGAGAAAAAAAAAACTTGACACATTTTAATATTTAATACACAGGCTCTTTTAGTGCCCTGGATAACTATTTTGAGTTTTAGTTATTGATATTGTATAGTGCTGTAGATGGATGTCAACATAATAGAAGATTTGCTTGAATCTGGATTTGCTTAATTCTGGCAGATATCTGGACTTAAGAAAAAACAGCACACCCACAACTTTTTTGCAGATGTTTTTTGTTCCTCTACCTTGCTCTCTTAAAAGAAGAGTAGAATGTAGTAACAGTTTTTTATTTATTTTAATTTTTTAATTTTTAATTTTTTTATTGTAATTTATTCTTTTAGCTGAGCCATCCTGCCACCTGTTGGCAGCTCAGCGGCAGCTCAGCTTGGGCCGGGAATCAAACTGCCAACCCTGTTGCTCAGAGCTCACACTCTTGAGCGAGCTCTTAACCAACGGAGCCACTCGGCTGGCCTTGTAGTAACATTTTTAACACCCCTCCAATTCTGTTTGATTGTTGTGAATTTAATTAACAAAAAAATTAACTCAAGAGTACAGGTAAGAGAATCTTATGAAGGAAAAAAATAAAGGTTAGGAGAATAATAAACTGAAGTAACATTTCTTTCTGGAGATACAAACTATGTAGTCCATTCATTTGTTAGAAAGTGCTACAAATATTGCTTTGAGCTTCCTTGTGGCCAAAACAAAGAGGATAATGGATCATTTGCAGGATTCACAATGTTCATTGGGTCAAAACGTTGCCTTTCATGTTACTGAGATTTTAGGTATGTAGCATTCTTCCAGCATCCATAATAATAAGCTTTTTAATGACTTTTTACCTTGTAATATTTCTTACTGTAAGCAAATGGCAGGATGCAAAAAGCAATTTTAGAAGAAAATTTAGGAGTGGGATGAATCAGCAGAGGTATAATCTGGACTGATCTAAGATTACAATTTAGAAATGTCTAAAGAAAGAAATAGGTTACATGGCTTTCAGAACCACTGATGGAAAAGCCTCTATGCATGTTATTTTTGTAGCCAAGTTTGAAAAAAGGATTAAACTACAGAGAATTTTTAGTTCTACTTCTTGACAAGCAACTGGATTTTTTGTATTTTAATCATTAGAGGCCTTCTTCGTTGGTGTCTAATTCATTGGGGGTTTTATGCTATATGACAAATTTAGGCTGAAATATATAAAATAGGAAATTTACGTGTGTTTTGTGACTTATTTAAAATTCTCACGACACCTCTTTTTCTGACAACCATGAGTTTGCCAGATAAAACTCACACATCTGCAACAGTGGTGATGTAGCACAGCCTGACACTGGCACCAGGCTGCCAGCCTACCCTCCTAGCCCTGTGTCTAAATGCTTCTCTTTTCTTCAAAGCCCCGCTTAGAGCCTACTTCTTTTGAGTTCCCTTCTTCTTCATCACTACTATTTCTCTAATGACCTCACTTCCTTCACACATCGCCTGTAGAATTTCTTTGACTGGCCTTTTTCATAATTTTTCATTTCTGTAGCTTATCTCTTTATCTACATTGTAACTCATTGAGGTAATTGATCTGCCCTGGCTTATATTATTTTTGATTCCTCATCTCTTAGCATTGTGGTTTTTCAAATTTGTATGGAAATTGAAATGCTCTTCGCAGAATACCACTGAGAACCAAAACAAAGTAACTTAAGTGTGTAATTATGTGCTAAATCAGATGGCACCTCACATAAGATTCTAGTTGAATAGGCAGAGGAGGAAGATGAGTTTTGAGAAAAAAATTAGGAGAGTCACATTTAAAATTAAGAAAATTCCTTTAATTTTTCCTGTGTATTGGGAAAATGGTGGACTTCAGATTGTAGTGACTAAATACTCCAGTTCATCTATTGGAGTACATTCTATGGAGCATGTCTCGTGCTGGCACTACGCTTGTATGTATCATAGTAGCTGCTCAGTGAGGGATGGGTGTTTTGGGGTATGGTAGTGTTCAGAGTGCCATGGAATTAAGTCTCCATTTCCTCCAGCATTCTTCATCTTGGCTCATTGACTTTGGGGCAAGGTGTGCATAATCTAGTTTTGTGATTTCTTTTCACATTACATAGTGATATTACAGTTCCCTCTATAAAATTTTAAGGAATTCATCTGTTTTGCAAGTTGAAGAATACTTGCCTTAAACTGTCATAAATATTTAATATATAAACATATGTTACTACTTAGGAAACAACAATGACTAACACAATAATTATGAACCACATGAAAATTAAACTGTGTCATATGAGATCTTAAAATGTTAAGATTGGTTTGGGAGGTTTAAAAATCGTAGTTGTACATTTTGAAATCTCTTTAAACATTGAGACATTGATATTATGAAAAGACAAACCCCATTGGGAGGCCATTCGTACTCTATTGTGAAGTTTAGTGCAAGAAATAAAATTCCTTAGTTCTTTCACTGTGAATTCATTTGAAGTCTGATAATGATTGTGAGCTTCATAGATTCTCTCATTACCTGAGGATTCACTTTCACCATATCTGTCCCCAAACTGCTACCTCCAGCCGGGAAGGCGAGTTTAGGCTTACCTGCCTTTTGGTTTTAGTTTCTGGTAGTGCTTTTCTTTCACTCTTTGGTGTTATTCTCTGATTACGGGAGTAACAACTTCAACAATGACCCAGTACTTTTCATTGTCAGGCCCTTTACTTATGTTATCATTAAATTTCTCAACAGCTCTGTGAATGCCTAACAATACCGCTGTTTCCCATGGCTTAGGGTAGAAACACAACTCATA